CTAATCAATTCTAAATAAAATAATCCTTGAAAAGGGGGGAGGATAAAAGAATCAAAATGATCATAATAAGGATACAACATGCTCTTGGAGAGCCTACGACATAACACTTTATGAAACCTCATGAGAGGGATAGCACCTAAAAATAATGAAGTGATGAGATCTCAATAAATTATGTCGTATTGTGAATCAATGCAAAATGATATATCATTGATGGTATCTTTGATACAATAGCGCGCAATATTGTAAAAAGATTATTATGATACAAATTCTACGTCTATTAAAGCATGCTTGTGTAGAAATAATTATCAAGTGAAAAGTGGAATGATGCATCTTGGTAAGAGTAAAGATTATTTGACTTGCGATCTAGGCACTAGAAAATGTCATACATCTAATATTGAATATTGTTACTTGACAAAATTGATATGAAAATATCCAATGGGTTCAAAATCTAAAGCATATACAAGTTTTTGGAAAACTTGTTTATCATCCTCATAAGGATTAAATCGATTCAAAATGCATGAAGCATATACAAATATTGTTATGCAAGTTGATAACTAGAATTGAAACTCTTGAAGAGTTTTCAAAAGGCAATAGATTATTTGCTTAAAGAAGTTAAAGTAAGGAACTTGCAGAAATATTTGATCTTGAAGGGAAGATTCATAAAATCAGATAGAAGAAATCATATTTCGTCAAGGTTTTTCTACACTCATAAGCTCCCAAGAATGGTCATATCAACATGCAAGAGGTCTGTTCAAGTAATATTATTGTTGATTTATTTACCAAGTCTCTACCAACTACAACTTTCAAGAAGATGGTGCACAAGCTTGGAAAACAAAGATTCTAGTCTTTGAATTGATGTTGTCATTAGGGTAAGTTAATACGCGATGTACTCTTTTTTCCTCACAAGGTTTTGTCCCACTGGTTTTCCTTATAAGGTTTTTAATGAGGCATCCATAATGCGTAATATTAGATATGTATACTCTTTTTCCTTCACTAGATTTTTTTTCTTAGTGGGTTTTATCTAGTAAGGTTTTAACGAGGCACATAATCTATCGATATTCAAGGGGGAGTGTTATAAACAATTTGAATTATAGTGAATGTCTAATTATGTGAAGTTCTTGTAGGATATAGTTAGGAATCCTACTTGGGGACCAAGTAAGGTTTTCCCTATCAATAAAGAGTTTTCCTTCATTGTAAACAAGATTTGTGAAAGATTTATGAATCCTG